TCACACACAAAAAATCTCAGATGGTTCGCGTGAACCGTGAGGCCGAGAAGGGAGGGGCGGAGGGAGGGACGGAATCCTCGGATCCCTGGGCCCCCTTTTTTACAATTGCTCAATATGAATACTACTCTCCCTCTTCCCCTGATGACTGCCTGGGAGTGTCCGACCCCCCCGCGTACTGTTTTTATACACACAAGATTCCCCAGAGCTGGGTTTTCGCCTGCATTTTTTCCAAAATGCTGCTCTCGCTGAGGCGCCGGCCTCATTTTCGGGCCCCGCTCGTTCCGAATCGTGCTCCCGCTGCAGCGCTGGCCTCATTTCCGTGCTTCCGCTCGTTCCGAATCGTGCTCCCGCTGCAGCGCTGGCCTCATTTCCGCGCTTCCGCTCGTTTCGACTCGTGCTCCCACTGCAGCGCTGGCGTCATTTCCCGTGCCATGCCACGGCGTGCAATGCAATGCTAGGTTGATACTATGCTTTGCGGTGCTCTTCTACGCCATGCCATACCGTGCTCTACAATGCATCGCGTACCCTTTCGGGATCATTGCCCTGCTCGACATCCGACTGCGCGAGTAGAGAGGGGATCTGCGCCATGGTAAGGGATGGGAGGAAGGGGTAGGATGTCAGATATGACGCGAGCGCACCTAGCTTGACCCCCCCCCTTTCTTCCTTCGGCCCGAGGCGGTGCCAGACGGGAGTCGGGCGCAGCTCTCGGGCCGCTGCGGCCGCGCGGGTCTGCGGGGGCCCGCGCGCCCACGAAAAGAAGGCACACCGTGGAGCCATACTCGACAGGCGCTCGAGGAGGAGGAGGAGGACCAGGGCTACGTGTTCGACCCAGACACCCTCGCGTCGCGAAATAATCACGACGGGAGGTTTTTCGCTACTTACGGCCTCTTGTGGCCCTTCCACAGCCTCGGGGCCGTCAACAAAACGACTCAGGACAGACAACTGGTCCCTGAGAAGGGGTCCAGACCTCTGGGAGTCGACGTTCTGAACAAAAATTCATGACGCCGGTGGTCTGGGGACCATGGGCCCTTCGCTACCCATCGCTCCTGGCCGTCTTCGGCGGATCGCTCCTGGCCGTCTTCGGCGGTCTTCGGGCGTTTTTCGGCTTTGGCGGTCTTCTGACGGTCTTCGGCGGTTTTCGACGCGAAAGGTGAGCGGTTGCGTTCAACAACGGGCCCATGATCGAACACGTAACCAGGGAAAACCAAAAACACATCAGCGATGCTGCAAGAATCCCTCCCTCAAAAAAAACAGCCTCACACATTGCCACCAGAAGTCACTACCATGTCCAGAAGTGGCCCGTTAGAGGACCACCATCTGAGAATCCTCAATCGTGCAAACCACAGTTCCTTCCGAACATGTGCATGTATGCGGTGATTTGCTTTCCGATGTATGCCAATTCTGGGTGACGTCCAACACTGAAAGTGCTCGCGCTTTCGAGCGGCAATCGACGATGGCCTCTTCAAATATGAAACTTTAAACGGGATAGGCCCTGCGACGAGCAACTGTACCTGGCACATGAACTGCACTCGCGCTCGACATCCGAACGTATGATGAGCCAACACGCTAGCTGGAATAATGACGTCGCAGCAAACACCATCGCATTGAAACGCACTAAAACTTACATCTTCAACGGTAATGCAGAAACCGCGCCTTCACGGCGCCTCGACGCACCTTGACGACGCCTTGACGCGCCTTGACGGCGCATCGGCGAAGACATGCGAGGCAATCTTAATGCCAGTCAGATTGCCCCGAAAACGTGCTGCCGAGGAGCATTGAAACAGAAGTGGGAGAAGAGGATCGCCCTCCACAGCGGTCTGCATCGACGACCCTCATCCGCCGAGGGCCTGCATCAACAGCGGGCTAGGGAGCGTTTACAGATACATCCCCTGAGGCCTAGCGAATGCACAGCGATGCCAGCGCGAGGCTCGCTACTGCACGCAGCACGCGCTGGCCACCGAACAGGCCCGGCCGCTGCGGCTGCTCTCCGACGGGAGCGCGCTCAGGAAGTCGGCGTGAACCCGGCGGTCCTCGTCGAGGCGAGCGAGCGCGACCTGGCGAACGAACAACACACACCCATACCCATAGTGACTACCTACGAGACCACCCCAACCCAACCCGAAGACCCGAATTTCGGGTTGGGGGGGGTAAGGGTTCCACGCGTGTTTTTTCTATGTTTCCCGACCCCCCCCCACTAGAAATCGAGGGTAAATCTGAGCCTTCGGGTTGGGTTGGGGTGGTTTGGTGGGGGGTGACATAGGGGGAACGCTGGGAGGAGCACTGGCTATGGGTGTGTGTGCGGGTTGTCGGATCCTGGGGGGCGCTTCCTTTCGAGCGGGGACCCCCACCCCACGACACGCACCCATCGCCCCCTCCGTCCCGCCTGTGGGTACGGGTGCGTGTTGTTCGTTCGTCACGACCCGCGCGACCCTTTCGCCCTCCGCCCAACTCGGTGCCGCCACCCTGGCAGGCCGACGCCTCCCCGCTCGGGGCGGCGAGG